CTTACGAATGCCCCGGCCACTTTCCAAGCGGCTATGACAACGGAGTTCCGACACATGCTGGATCGATACGTACTTATCTATCTCGACGACATCCTGATATACAGCCGGAGTTTGGAGGAGCATGTGGAACACCTGCGCATCGTTTTGGAGGGGCTACGACAGGCCAAGTACAAAGCCAACCGCGACAAGTGTGAATTCGCGCGGCAGGAGCTGGAGTACTTGGGCCATTATGTGACGCCGCAAGGCATCCGTCCGGTCGCGGACAAGATCGAGGCCCTACGAGTATGGCCCGAGCCCACCAACACCACGGACATTCGCTCATTCATGGGATTGGCGGGCTACTATCAGCGATTCATCACCGGATACTCCAGGATTGCTGCACCTATGACAAGGTTACAATCGCCAAAGGTGCCATTCGTATTCGATGACGACGCACGCCGGTCATTCCAAGCACTTAAGACGGCCATGCTCATGGCACCTGTCCTCAGCATCTATGACCCCACCTTGCCGACGAGAGTGACTACGGACGCTTYCGGCTATGGCATTGGGGCAGTCTTGGAACAACACGACGGCGACGACTGGCACCCTGTGGAGTATTTCAGCCACAAAGTGCCTCCCATCAACTCGCTGGATGATGCAAGAAAGGAGCTACTCGGGTTCGTCATGGCTCTCAAGCGATGGTGACACTTCCTCCTTGGGCGTCGTAGGTTCACATGGGTTACGGACAACAATCCATTGACCTACTACAAGACGCAGGATACGGTGAGCAGCGCGATCGGATGATGGATGTACTTCATTGACCACTTTGACTTCACACCGAAACATCTACCCGACCGCTCAAATCGCGCAGCAGATGCACTCTCGCGAAGACCAGATCTTTGCACTATGACACATCATACCTTCGCATTCGACGAGGAGCTTCAGCGACACTTCATCCGGGCATATGAGTCTGATCCGGACTTCGGCACGCTCTATGCACAGCTATCTTCGGATCACCCGCCGGCCAGCCATTACCGCATTGCGGACGGGTACTTCCTCCTCCACTCGAGAGGCAAGGACTTACTATGTGTCCCACGCGACCGTCGTCTTCGGACTCGCCTCCTTGGCGAGTATCATGATTCACGACTCGCCGGCCATTTCGGAGTCAACCGCACTATTGCACGGCTTCGACAGCGATTCCCATGGCCCGACCTCATTACCGATGTCACTCGGTATTGCGACTCTTGCGAAGTTTGCCGACGCAGCAAGCCCCGCAACCGCAATCCCTACGGCGAGTTACACCCGATGCCTATCCCACGGGAACCCGGTCTCTCCATTGCCCATGGACGTCACCGGCCCGTTTCCTCGCGACCGGCTCGGACACGACGGCATCCTCACGGTTGTGGACCGATTGAGTAAGTTCGCGCGTTTTCTCCCTTGCAAGTACTACTCCACGGCTCCCGAGCTGGCACGCCTCCTGCACACTGGTTGGATTTGTGGCCACGGTGTACCAGAAGACATTGTCAGCGACCGCGACACTCGTTTCATGTCGGTGTTTTGGACTGCTCTCATGCAGGAGTCCGGCACAATCAAACCGCTCAAATGATGCTTCGTACGCTCATTCGTCCGGACCAGAAAGATTGGGTTGACCGCCTCCCCGACATCGAGGTCGCCTACAACAGTTCGGTGCACCCGGCGATCGGCGTGACTCCATTCGAGTTGCACCACGGTGGACGGAAAGGCCGCATCTTCACTGACCTTCTCCTCCCTCGACCAGCCGACATTGACGCCGCTTGCTCCCCCGCTTCCGTTCGGAAGTACAGGGACTTGTTGACTCAAGCCCGCACAAATATGCAAAAGGCTCAAGTTCGCATGCAGCAGCAAGCCAACAGGCGTCKCGTACCATGTCCCATCCGTGATCTGGTTTGGGTCTCCGCGGAAGAGTTTGCACTGGAACAGGACGTTTCACGCAAACTGCTTCCCAAGTGGTTTGGACCTTGGTCTGTGASAGCAGCCGCGGGCGATGAGCCCGATGGCCCTTCATTTGTGATCAACATTCCAGAGCATTTGACGGTCCATCCGGTCTTCCACGCCTCGAAGCTGGCAACCTACACGCCAGCCAAGAGCGAGGACTTTCCGGGCCGACGATCGCAGGACCCTCCTTCTATGGATGGCCATCAGGAAGTTGACCGCGTCATCACCGATCGCAAGTACGACAACAAGCCGCGGAAGTACAAAGTCACATTCAAAGCATGCGATCGCGACGACACTCGGTGGATTTCAGGAGCAGATTTGAAAGCATCTGCACCGCTGATCTACGCTCACTATGAACGTCAAAGGTTAGCCAAGGGACCTCCACGACCTGCCCCTCCCACCCGGACTGTGGTCCCTCCCTCAGACAGACAGCTTCGCCCTAGCAGGTCAGCTCGGTCTTTCAAGGAGGGGGCGGTGTGGCATACTGCGTAGCCACGGGCCCTGTAGGACCCGTCCCGGACATTCAGCCTAAAAGCCTAAAACTTAATATCTACAAGCCCCGGTCGTTTCAGCCTGAAAACTGAAAAACGAGGGCCTGCAGGCCCTACGCCGTTTCAGCCTATTTCTGGGTCTTTCAGACCCAGAGTTTTTCCAGCCTGAAACGGAGGGCTATTCTTAGGCCCTGGGCTATTTTTAGGCCCTCATTTGTTTCGACCTGCCCTAAGATTGAGGCACGAAAACTGGGTTTCGGAACAGGCTATTTCTGGCCTGTTCCCACGCCAGCTTGAGCAGGAGCTGCAGCTGCAGCCCCTGCCTCCCTGCGGCATTATTGGCAAGAGCACGAGCAGGAGCTGCAGCTGCAGCCCCTGCCTCCCTTCGNAGCAGGAGCTGCAGCTGCAGCCCCTGCCTCCCTTCGGCATTATTGGCAAGAGCACGAGCAGGAGCTGTCGCTGCAGCCCCTGCCTCCCTTCGACATTATTGGCAAGAGCAGCCTCCTGGACTGCTCACTCGAGTCAGGAGGCACCCGTGATAGTACATAGGAGCTTCAGGCACTGAACGGCTAGGCAGTTGGAGAGTAGGACGGTAGTCTTCAGATTTCGGCCGCAGCACTCAGGAGGAGCGCTGCAGTAGTCTTCAGCGCTAGGCAGTAGTAGTCTTCGGCGCTGGGCGCCCATAGCCATAGCTGTAGTCTTCAGCGTTGGGCGCTAGTAGGTGGTAGTAGTTGCAGTGGAGGGAGATGGCTGACGGAGGCC